ATAGTTGTCTTGTTTTCTGAGCTGTTTTTAACTGAGAAAAACAATGCTCATCAGCCAGGGGAGCAAAGAGACCCCCTTGGCCAGTTTCCATGTGACACCCCTCCCCTGGATGCCAGCTCACCCAGGGCCGCCTCACCCTCCTGCCGCCCACCAGGGTCAAGGGAGGCCTCGGTTCTCACTTTAAGTTAGTTCACAAATGACTTTTTCTTCAATTAAGAAAAAAGAACCCAACTCAACCTCTCTGACCACCCGCCCTGCATCCCACTCTGCGTCCTATGCTTCTGCTAATGACAATATGATGGCTTACTCGCTACCCTAAAACCATTTTTATGTAATTAATGTATGCTTTCTTGTTTATAAATGCCTAACTTATACACAAAGATGCAGCTAGAAATAAATGATTTTCTTCAGTGATTGTTTTTCATTGTGTCTTAACAGTCTTGAGCTTATCTTGATTGTGAACTATTATGCAATATAATTCCCAAAACAGAATAGAGGTATGAAGCCTCTATTCCCAAAATTCTTTGATAAATTAAAGAGTATTTTTCAAATGATGTTGGTATTCTTTACTAATTTAGATCATTTTCAATTATAGAAACCTTTTAAGTTCTAGAATATTAAACAGTTTAATGTTTATTTAGTTCTTTCTCCTGGCCAAAGAACGTGGACAATAAATAACAGACAAAGACTGTCATAACTGATTCAGTTGAAAAGCATGTCATCAACACCTACTTTTCACAAAGCAAAGAGCTTATGAACTAATGAATGTGATCAAGATAAAAAAGGATTGTCACATCATTGATTAGCCATTTCACTGCTATGCACATTTAGTCCTCAGGAATTTAGATAGGGAGAGGGATAACTCATTGGATGCCAACAAAACAATGCTCCTGACCTTTAAGTATTCAAAATAAAGTGGGAGGACTGAAACTAGAGGATTAGGAAGTAAAACAAAACAGCTCTATATGCTGAAGAAATAAAGGTAGCATGGGAATGATTCAGTGGTGAGTGATTTTTTTTTCCTATTTGATAATGTTATTGGAACACCCACCTGCCATTCAGTAGTACCTTGGAAACTTGCATATAATATGGTGTAGGAAAAGCATACCAAAGATGGAATTCAGAAATGAGATATTCATACATGCTAAGTAATATGACCTCATTATAAAATAATCATTAAGGCAATAGTTGCCAGCATGACTCTAAAGGCTTATCTGAATTTAAGATTACTACTAGAACCCTGTACTTTTAGAGCTGGAGTGGACATCAAAGATCACTTATCTGGCCCTTTCACATTTCAGGAAAAGTCCAAAGCCTTCTACTTAACTCACATCATCTCATTAAACCCATTTATCCAACAAATGTATGAGTGCTGGTTTCAGGCACTAGGCTCTGCTCTAGACGGTAAAGATACAGTGGTAAACAAAACAGACACAGTCCTTACCCTCATAGAGCTTTTGTTAAAATGAGGAAGACTAAGTAAAATAAATGAGAAAAATAATGGTGTATTGGATTGAGATTGTCCTAAGGAAAAAAGATACATCAGGGAAGATGGCCATGAAATATCTTGGGGAAAAGATAGAAATTCTAGAAAGAGAGTTCATCTAAGTCTTCCCTTTAAACACCTTGAGGAAAGAGTTTAAAAATATGGGCACTAGCTATGCCAATGTCTGGGACAGGATTATTCTAGCAGAAATAAGGAAGTGAGAGGACTGTAGAAACCCTGAGTGGAGACACCCTTGCCCTGTCCAAGGAGAGTAGTGTTGCCTGAGGAGGAAGTAGGAAGTGGTAAGGTCAAGGAGGCAACGGCAGGGGGCAGATCCTGCAGGACCTTGTGGATTGTGGCCTTTTTACTTTAGGAGAGATGAAAAGCCATTGGAGGGCTCAAGCAGAAGAGGGACGTGGTCAGATTTATGTTCTAACAGAGCCATCCTCCTGATGTATAGATTGAAGAGGGGTAAGAGTGAAAGGAAGCTTTATCATTAAAGAGAGTCGTAGCAGTCAGGGTAGGGTGAAATTGTGGGATTCTGCATATATTTTGAAGGTAAGGCTCCCAGGATTTGTTATTGGACCAGGTGTGGAATGTGAAAGAGAAGAGACAGGGAGAGTCCGAAAGTTTTGGCAAGAGTAAGTGGAGAAGTAGAACTGCTATTTTCTGAGGTGGGCAGACCATAGGAGACCCCCATATGAGGTGCACACTGGACATCCAAATAAAGGTGTCCCGGAAGCCAGAGAAAAGTGGTTGAATGGGTCAAATACTGCTGTCAGGTCAAGATAAGCACTATGGCTTAACCAGTGGATTAAACAATGTGGAGGCCATTGCAGGTCTTGAAGAGGGCAGTTTTACTGGAACAGTAAAGGTGAAAACATGACAGAAGTGAATTCAAGACACAGGGAAGAGAGACGTTGAGAAAAGCATTCTTTCAGAGAGGTTAATTTACTCTAAAGGGAAAGAGGCAAATAAGATAGTAGCTAGAAGGGGTTAATAGACCTGTGAGGGGGTGCTGTTATCACCATCTGACCCATGGCTTGATAGATCAGAACCAACTGCTCAAGGTAATAAAAAAGAAAAGTACATGGTGAGAATCAGTTATTCTGATCCCAGAGACCACATTCTTTTTTTTTTTTTAAGATGTGGGGTACAATTCAGGATTAGGAATATAAGTGGTGATGGTACAGGTAAAGTTTGGGCCTCCCCTTGGTCCTCACTTCACCTGGTTTGAGATCAGGTACCTTTATTGATGTTGTGTTCCTCCCTACCCCGCCCCCCCATTCCCATTCCCCATACCACGCCCCGTAGCAGTATCTCACTACTGTCAGTCCCTTTCTTACAGTATTATGGTAAATGTTCAGGGTCCACTTATGAGTAAAAACATGAGAGTCCACATTCTTAATTGACAATCCACAACAAAGGGATGAAGGCAAGACCTTCATTTATCCATCTATTTAGGGGAACCAGCACTAGCCTATTGGCAAGCATCGCCAAAAGAAAGTGAGGAATGCTTAAAGGGAATAAGCTATTAGTCTTCATTTAAAATTTTGTATGTACTATATACCTGCACATAATTTAAATTTCCTAAATACGCTCATACCTATAGCTTTTTTGTGTTATTTTAATTAGAATTCCACGAGAAATAAAACATGTTTTTTTCTACAAATGTTAACTTTATATTTAACTTTATATAACTAATACATTAAATTATTTTATTATTTATATTAACTTTATATTGAAAAAATTACTGTCCAGGCCCACTCCTGCAGGAAGGCAAAAGTAACAATCCCTTGAGACTTCAACTATTTATTCAAGATAATTTTCGTGCCTGAACTGACCTCTTTAATCATACACACTCATTTATTCACAAATTCACTCAACAAACATGCCTTCTAAGTCCCAGGATCTCTTCTAGAAGCTGAGGGTACTGCAGTGAATAAAAGAGACAAGGTTTTAGTTCTTATGAAGTTGACATCTTGTGAGAAAGAAGCAGACATTTGAAACATAATAAGTAGAGTTTCAGGTGATAAAAACTATAATTAGAAAATTAAATGACCTAGAGTAAAACCAGAACCAGTGCACACTACTTTGAATGGGTGGTAAAAGTTCTCTCTGGTGGTTGACATTGACGGAAACTGCATTAAGAAAAGGAGCCCGCTATTTCCAGGGCTCAGAGAAAGAACAAGGAGTGAAAAGACCTCTCTTAAGTCTTGGAAGATTAGCCAAAAAAGTCTGAAGTATAGTGAGGGTAAAAGAGTGATGTTCTAGAGGTCAAAAGAGTAGAATATGGATTTTATTCTAAGCATGATGAAAAACTACCGGAGGTCTTTAATTCAGATCCCACTGGCTGCTAGAGCAGATGGATTAGAGGAAATGAGGGTGAAAACCAGGAATCCACTTGACAAGCCACTAAAGTAGCTCAGCAGGAAGTGATGGTGGCTGGAATGGAGGGTTGGACTAGACTGGTAGCTGGAAGGGATGTTAAACCCTTGCTGTGGCAAGAGGGATAATCTGATGGATTCACAGAATATTTTGGAACTAGAACTAACAGAAGGTGGATAAGGAGTTCCAGAGAGGGGCAATGAGTGATCACAATCATCAAAGGATGACACCAAAGTTTCTTAAAAAAAAAAAAAAAAAAAACTGAATAGGTTGTCATTCCATCTACTACCAGGGTACAGCTTGAGGAAGCAACAGGAGAAAAGGAATCATAAGACCGCTGTCTACTTGCCACCTTGGTGGAGATGTTGACTAAGCAGTTGAATGTGTTGATGGGAAGAGCAAGACATTCGGCCTTAAATTCTTCAAGACTTACTCCTTATAAAACGATGGCAAATCAAACAAGTCCAAAGTATCTTAAAGGCCTTTGAAATCGTGACACTTCCTATCTAGAGTTTTCACTGAGCAAGTGTATTTGATCATCTTCTAATTTATGGCAAGTTTCAATGAGGTTTTGTTTACTATTTTTCTTTTTTTATATATGTATATAAGCTCTGAATTAGAAGCCAAGAGTTCTACTCTTAATTCTGTCCCTAACAAGTTAGGTGATTAGTGGATTTCACTTATTCTCTAAAGGTGACCACGTCCTCACCTATAAAACTTGGAAACTAGGCAAGGATATAGCCTATTTTTGAACTTATGAGTTTATTTCATAATTCCTTAACTCATTGGAATGAAGGACTTATGAACTTAAAAGTCCGACGGCACAGAGTACACAGGGAGTACGCAGTAGGCATCAGTAAAAGTACATTGTCCATATGCACGGTGAAGTTTAATGACTTCCTTAAAAAGTTATTTAAAACGTTTTGAGAAAGAGTCCAGCAACTGAAGGAGGGAGGGACCCAAGTTGGGTAGGGCCTGACTTCCCATCCCACTCGGGTCACCTACCAGAGGACCTCGTCGCCCCCTGGGGTAGCCACCCCAGGACTTTCCCCCAGTCTGGGAGCTCAGGGACCTCAGTCTGGGAACCCAGGGACCCCCGTGGGGTTCAGTGGTGCCTGGCACTTACCTGGCGGGTAATACCGGAGCAGGAGGCTCTTCAGCTTCATTTTCTCTCTGTGGTTTCCCTAGCCGATGAGCTTCGTAGCCATGGAAACCGCCAAACAGCAGCGGGGCGCGGGCGCGCATGCGCAGGCACCTCCGCGCGTTCCTTTAGCAGAGCTGAAGGCCCGGGTTCCCAAGCGCAGCCTGCGACCCCAGGCGGCCGGGGGCGGCCGGGGGCGGCCGGGGGCTTCTGCGCGCCGCTCCGGGCGAGTGTTCTGGTGGTACCTGGAGTCGACGGGGCGAAGGCCACTAGTGTCCTCACTAAGCGACCTTGGGGGACCGAGGCTCGGCCATGGACCACGTGCACTTGATTTGGCACACTGGATTTCCCAAAAGGAGGAGGGAGAGAAAAATCCCGCTCCTGGTTACTACTCTGGGACGCCAACATATGACCTGTGTCTGTCCCTAGTAAAGAAAAATGGCCTAACCGTAATATCCTGTATTTCCTGACTATGTGACGTACATTGCACTAAAAGGTTTATATACCTATAGTCATATCCTAACAAAGTTATGAGTTATGCGCCACTTAATACCATCCCCATCTCAGGGATGGGAGAACAGAATTAAAGAAGATAGAAGGCTGGGCACGGTGGCTCATGCCTGTAATTACAGTACTTTGGGAAGCCGGAGCGACAGGATTGCTTGAGTCCAGGAGTAGGAGACCTGCCTGGATAACACAGCAAAACCTTTTCTCTATTAAAAAAAATTAGCCAGGTGTGGTGGCACACACGTGTAGTCCCAGCTATTTGGGAGGCTGAAGCAGAAGGATCTCCTGAGCCCAGAAACTTGAGGCTGCGGTAAACTATGATCCTACCACCACACTCCAGCCTGAGTGAAAAAGTGAGACATGCA